ATATCTAGGTCTTACTTGACTTTATACCCATCTCTTTTGTGTCTGCTGGCCTCCGTCATTCGGTGGCTGTCTCAGGTAGATTCGTCTATTAATCTCGCTCTAGTCTCCGGGGAACTTTACCTTTGGGGCTGCAATCGTTATAACCAGCTTGATCCGTTCGGAAAGATTCACGCGCCCAAAGCCGCTCGATCCATACGTTCTCCATTAAAGATATCTTTTGACTGCCTTAAGGCCGTAAACGATCGTATCGTTAGCTGCTCGGCCGGAGCTCACCATTCAGCTATTCTAACAGGTCAATAGCCTACATGTCAGATAATTCTACTACTATTCCCGCCTCTTGATTAGTACGTTCTTTTTATGAATTCGTTACAGAAAAAGGAAGAGTTGCTGTTTGGGGAGATCCCAGATTTGGTGTGCTCGGACCACTTTGTGACCACTCAAAAGAAAAATCTTCAATCACCTGGTTTGGGCCCGCAGATTTTGATGGGAAGCGAGTTGTTTCTTTGTCTTCCGGCTGGAGTCATTTAGCTGCTTTGACGGGTACTTTGTTTATACTCTGGTATATGGCATTATTTTACCCTCTATAATTTTATCAGAGGGTGCATATCTCTGAGCCTAATGTTTATTTTATGGGTTTATTGCCATTGATTTATTATTAATTTAAAATACCTCTTAGAGACAGTATCATTTGAACCCGATGTGGTGTTCAAAGGCCTGAAACAATGAGCTATTAGCCCACCACACATTTGAGCGTTGGATCAAAATATTGTTTGAATATATACCTTAATTCGCTTGCTATTTCCCTCTCGAATCACCCAATCATTACTTTATTTTTTGGGATCTCTTTGTATCGCAGCAATCATTTAAATTGATAACCTTCGGATTTATTACTATGACGCTTCACCAATGAAAATGAGTGTTCCCGTCTGAATCACTAGTGCACTTGTATCTCAGATTATCGTATTTATCTTTCATACGCATAGACTCTGGATACGGCTCTGAAATTCCCGTCAGAACCGAATACAGCATCGCTTACTTAGTATGTGAATAGTTACCTTTGATTCATTTTTTTTCAAATATCAAATTTATATCAGAATGCGGGGATATCTTTACTTGGGGCCGTGGACACCTCGGATGCCTGGGTCACCTTGATCCTACTTGCCCAGACTTCTGTAGTTCTCTCACAGAACAAGCGAAGCCCCAAGTCACTACTCAGGTCAATCCTCATTTGATTGCTACTCACCCCCGCCAAATCCTTTTCCCACACCGTACTGGAGACGATCACTGCTTACCATTGCCAGTACCCCAGATACCTTCTACAAGTTGTCATCAACTGGCCTGTGGCTCTGAGCATTGTCTCGCTTTGGACACCACGGGTTGCCTCTGGGCTTGGGGTTGGAATGAGCATGGTATGTGCGGTAACTCAGATCGTAAAGAAGGACAGCAAACATCCAGTGGGGCTTTCCCCAACAACTGTATTTGGCATCCAGTACCTGTTTCTTTTTGTGAGGTCTCATCCCCGTCAGACGTTGAAGACAAGAAATTTTTTTTGCCGCTGGGCCTTGTTTCTGCCGGTTATGGGCATAGTTTCGCCACTGTACGGGCTTGATTAAGAGCTATTGTCGCACATTTGTTGAGTAGGTATTGCAGGCCTTAGCGCAGAAAAGGGTATATAATGCTTCAGCAGGTTTTCCTTAATGTCAAACAAGCTATCCTAGATTATTTTATTAATCACGCTATAGTTGCTCTTA